CTCCACCTCCTCCTCCATCACCTCCTCCACCTCCTCCTCCATCACCTCCTCCTCCACCTCCTCCTCCATCACCTCCTCCTCCTCCATAACCTCCACCCTATTTTCATTGTCTCCTAGGACTAACAACTGACCAAATCCTCACACATGGTATCATTTCACGTTTTCATTCTCACACCCAATGCATGACGTTGGCACTATCATGCTCAGAAAATGGAGTCTCAACTGAGTGGTGTGCCTAGAGTGGGCAGCACAGGAGTTTGACCCAGGCCTCTGCAGTGTACCCAGGCCTGAAGAGATCTGAATCCCTCCTCAGGTCCCCCGGAACCAGAGATGTGTCCCTGTCCAGAGCCAGGGGCCAGAGAGACAATGCCTGGATCTGGCCTCCCTGGTAGGTGAGACCGTGAGGTGTTCAAAGCCCCATCTCAGAGGAGGGCGGGATTTCTGTCCACACACCCACTTGCCATATGTCCCTGCTCAGTAAGGGCCTGAAGGCCCCATGATCAGGATGGACACCCAGACAGGAGCTACTGGGGGAAATACGGATTCAGGAGTTGAGAGGTTTCCCCACTCCCACCCCTGGGAATGTTCCAAGGCCAGAAGACCAGAAAGACTACAGGCTACCTGGGATCCCTTGGGCTGGAAAATATGGGTGGACAGAAAGGTGAAGACAACAGGGGTGAGGCACAGATGCAGGGGGAGCAGGCAGGAGCCCTCCCGAGGCTCGCCCAAGCCCCCCCACCCAACTCAGCAGGCTCTGAGTCCACCAGGCTTCCCACCCCTGAGACAGGCAGGCCCAGGGCCACCTCCCTCTGCAGCTGTGCGGGCCCCAGGGGCTGTGTCCTCTCCATCTGTGTGTCTGTTCTTGAAGGTGGGGCTTGGGTCGGCCTCGTTTTTGTGCCCTGTGGTCGGGGCGGGGCTGGCCTGTGGCGGGGGCATGGACCCTGCTGAATGGGTGTCCCTGGCATGGGTGGGCTCTCCCTTAAAGTTGGAGGGAAAGAAAAACAGGGTGTGTTGGGTGTTAGCATGCCCCCACCCCAGCTACATGCCTGCCTCATGATCTCATTGGACACGCCAACAACTCTGGGAGCAAGGTGCTTTTAGGGTCCCAACCTGCCACCAAAAGAGCCTGAGGCTCAGAGCCCACTGCCTAATGCAGGCACAATGAGAGTGTGTGCACATGCACGTGCCTAGGTGTGCACCTGGGTGTGTACGTGTGCCTGGGTGTGCAAGGAGGGAGTCCTCGCCCAGGGCTGGGGACAGGCCCTCTGGGTCCCCGTGTCCACAGGAGGCTTCCGTCTATGCTGATGGGCACCTGGGCCATGCAGTCCAGAGCTACAGGGCAGGGACTGCTGTCCTCCGCGGGGCAACGTGGCTGATTCTGGGCTGCCCCAAGGCCTTGGAACATTCCCAGGGGTGGGAGTGGGGAAACCTCTCAACTCCTGAATCCGTATTTCCCCCAAACTTGGGGCCTCCTGAAGGTGATGCCAAGCTAGGCGAGAAGCGTTCCCCAGCTCTGGCCCCGCAGACCTGCAGCCGGTGTGCAGCGTGACCGGGAGAGCTGTGGCGGACGCAGGGCCTGTCTCCACTCTCCCCCGTTCCCTCCCCGCCCACCCCAGAAACAGCTGCCTGAGGCCCAAGGGCATCCTGGGTGCCCGGCAGCAGGGGCCTCCACGGGCCAGGACCACCACAGGCCTGTGGGCCCCAGTGGCTTTCGGCGAGGGCGTGCAGGACCTGGGCCCTTCCCCTCCCCCGTCCCCATCCCCGTAGAAACACCGCCAAGTACTTCTCGCTGGCCTCCCAGAGCTCCCCAGGCTTGCCTGTTGTGTAGGCCAAGAGACGTGAACCCACACGTACACACACACATGCATGAGCACACACGCGAACACACGGACACCCACAGCCCATTCTCTCCCTCCTGCCTTGAATCACACCCACTGGCCTGTCTGCCCCCAGGGCCTGGGCATGGCCGTCCTCCAGCCCTGTGGCCCCTACACCCCCTGCAACGCTGGGTGGCTCTGGGGGCACCAGGGGCAAGCCTGCCCTCCTCCACAGGGACCATGGGATGGACGTTTAAGGCACAGCCTCAGCCTGGGGCAGCTGTGTCCCAGGCCAGCCTGGCCGCCTGGCAGGCGACTCAGAGCGTGGTCTGGTGGGACACTGGGGCACTGAGAGGGGACCGAGCCCCTTCAGGGACAGTCCCAGCCTCTCTCGACCTGGGGACCTGGAGGGCACTGAGGGCTCCTCAGGCTCCGTGTCCCATGGCCGTGGCGGCATCTGTCCTCGGGGGGAGGAGAAGCTGCCCAGGCAGGTGTCCCGTCACATGGGTGACAGCGCCCTGGCCCTGAGGCCATCCAGAGGCCACTAGGGGCCGCCCAAAGCCTGCGGCCCCTGCCCACCCTCTCCCGGTCCCCCCCGCCGCGGTGACTCACGGACAGCTAAATATAGCTGTGTAGTGGGAGCTGGCAGGGAAAGACGGGGATGAGCTCACGGCTCCTCGATCCAGCAGGAAGTAAGAGGCCCCAAGACCCACACACGCACACACGCGTGGACGCACAGACACACATACACGTGTGCACCCCCGCTCACGCCAGTCGACTGTGACGAGGACCCCAGCGGAAGGCCGGCAGAGGAAGGCTCCTCCCCTTCCCCCCGCCCCCCAGCCCCCCCGTCTGCCCCCCAGTCATGCAGGGGAGCGTCCCCAGCTCAGGCACTTACAGATCAAAGACCAGGTAGTGGAACCCTTCCTCAGAGATGCTATCATGCAGCCGCACTGTGGGGACAGAAGAGGCCGTGAGGGGCTGGCCCGGCCCGGGACCCGCCCTCGCTGCGCAGCCCCCCGCCCTCACGGAGGGGCCCACCCATCCCAACAAGGGCCTGGGGCTCCCCACATTGGGGGTGCTGCAGGGCAGAGCCCAAGGGGAGAGCCAGGAGTCCCAGGCGGACATCCACAGGGCCCCAGGTGTCCGCTGTCCCCTTTCGTCTGCCCGAGGGAGACCCAGGCCCCTCTCAGCCCGCGGCCAGGGCGCAGGGGGTCGCAGGCGAGGTGGGGCCACAGGGTGGAGGCTCGCCGGACCAGGCCCTGGAAAGGAGCCGCTCCCAGGACCGTGACACGAGCCGTGGGGCCCGGTTGCCCGCCTCTCAGCGCAAGCGAAGGGAGCCCAGTGAGGGACCACTTCCAGAAGCTCAGGCCCTGGGTTTGGGTTCCAGGTGCTCCCCCAGCCTGTGTGTCCCTGAGCCTGGAGCGCGCCCCGCCCGAGGGCGCTGGCTAGCCTGTGACGAGCGAGCGAGCGAGTGGACAGCCAAGGAGGTGCTCTCAGCACAAAAGGTCGCCGCCGCTCCGTGGAGCCGGAGACGCCCCCGGCGCTAAACAGCAAATATTTCTAGCAACGGTGCGTCCTGGATGCCGCCCCTCCCGTGCCAGGTTCTGCCTCCTGCAAGCGCTGCTCGGAGCGCTCCTGCTGCGCCGCCCCAGAGGCCACGCACACGGCGGAGAGGCGCACGGCTCCCCGAGGGCCAGGCAGCGAGCGGAGCAGGGCTCGGAACCCCCAGGGCCTGCGGCTCCTTGGGCCTCTCCCCGCAAGGAGGTAGGGAGGCCCCGGCCTCGCGCCCTTAGTTTCGACCCGCCAGCAGGCCTCCTTCTTCCTCCCGCTGTAACCCTCCCAGGGGCCCGGCCAGCAGCGTCTTCACACCACGAAGCCCAGTCCGGCCGCAGCGGTCGCGGACACGGGCCAAAGCCTGGCACCGAGGCCGGGCTCCTGCCCGAGCAGTTGGGGCGTCCGGTCGCCGACTCCAGGGGCCGGCTCCTCTAGCCTGCTGCCCTCCCGTTTCTTGCTCTGTGCCTCTGCTCAAGGGTCCGGCATCCAGCCTTCTCCCCTCTGCCCTCAGCAGCTCCGTGGCCACATGCTCACGAAGCGAGGTCTTCCCGGGCCCCGGGCCTCCACCAGCTGCTGGGCTCAGTCACCTCTCCCGGGGACGTCCCAGAGGGCTCCGGGTGCGCAGAGCTGATGCTGACCTGCCTCTCCCCAACACCCAGCAGACCCCTGCTCACTGCAACCTCCTTCCGGGACCCTCTGTGAAATCAGCGCGGTGAAGAAAAGCTCACCCCCTCCAGGTGCGGGCTCCTCTGCCCCAGCCGCCTCCCCTGGAGCTCCAAGCAAGAAAGGCCTGAGGGCCCCTGAGGGACATTCCTGGGGGCCTTACTCTCCTTCCCTGGGGAGTCCCAGGGGTTCATGAAGCTGGGGTGCTGCAGGGGGCCCCTGCCCCCCAGTGCTGGTGGGAAGGGGCCGGGCTCCTAGGTCCTGCTGGCAGGTCTACCTCCTCGCCCGGGAGACACAGGGGGTCTAGGGGGGAGTGGAGGCTACGTGCATGTGGACACTTTTTTTTCCCCAACATTTTTAGCATTTAAAAAATAGATGCACGTTATTTTAATGGTTTAGAAGGAAACCTATCTAGCATACGAGACCGTGATTTCTAACAGAACCCAGGGAGAAAGCGACTTGTCACAGAATCTACTTAAATAAAGCAGGAAGTACGTAACACTGAGCAGGATACGTAGCGACGACAGCCTGCCCCGCCGGCACCCGAGAGCCCAGCCTGGAAGCCCCGCGAGGCCGCCACACAGAGGACACAGGCGTGCACCCAGGATGCTCCCCTCGCCGGGGTCACGGCTCTTCCAGGGACTGGACCTGAGTCCCAGGCCAGGGGCTCTCAGGGGGGCCCCTCCACCCTCCCAGACAGCCTCCGGACCCCCTTCCTGGACCCCCGTGCTGGCTGTGGTGGCAAGGCCCAGCCCGGATGCATAACATCCGGAGACCTTTCTCCTCTCCCGGACTTGCACTGGCCTCCGCTGTCCAGGCAGGAAGTCCCCTGGCGTCCAGCGCATGTCCTCCACCGTGCCCAACTGCCAAGCTCAGGGGTGAACCACCCAGCAGAGGAGGTCAGTTCCAGCCCCAGAAACCAGAAGGTGGGGATTTGCCCTCCCTGAGCCAGGCCCTGAGTAGAGGGTCAGTATGCAGAGGGGAGGCTGAGTGCAGGTTGTGGGGAGGCTGGGGGAGGCTGGAGGGAGGCTGGGGGAGGCTAGGGGG